AAGTACGTCGGACTGTCTACTCTGCAAAAAGGGGTCATTTGGGGATATCTGTACTGTTCTGACATTCTTGGACCTCAAGAAATTAGATTGGCTGTCAGTACTTCAGGATTGATCAATTTTCAGATCTATACCATAGTTTGTGAACTCTATAACTTTCCTACAAACTAAATAATACATCCTAATTTGGGTTATTTTCACCAAAGACATGTAGTAGAATACATCTCGGCCTAAATTTATGAAGAACAATTATTTATTTGTAAACTTTTATAACAGAAACAAAGAAAAATGTGTTTTTTTTTTTCAAAATTTTTGGTCTTTTTTTGTTAATTTAGCAAAAAATAAAAACCCCAGCGGTGATTAAATACCACCAAAAGAAAGCTCTAGTTGTGTGAAGAAAATGATAAAATTTTAGTTTGGGTACAGTGTTGTATGACCGCGCAATTGTCATTCAAAGTGTGAGAGCGCTGAAACTTGAAAAATGGCCTGGGCAGGAAGGTGTAAAATTGCACGGTATTGAAACGGTTAATACTTGGTTGCAAATCCTTTGCAGTCAATTACAGCCTGAAGTCTGGAACGCATAGACATCACCAGACGCTGGGTTTCATCCCTGGTGATGCTCTGCCACCCCTCTACTGCAACTGTCTTCAGTTCCTGCTTGTTCTTGGGGCATTTTCCCTTCAGTTTTGTCTTCAGCAAGTGAAATGCATGCTCAATCGGATTCAGGTCAGGTGATTGACTTGGCCATTGCATAACATTCCACTTCTTTCCCTTAAAAAACTCTTTGGTTGCTTTTGCAGTATGCTTTGGGTCATTGTCCATCTGCACTGTGAAGCGTCCAATGAGTTCTGAAGCATTTGGCTGAATATGAGCAGATAATATTGCCCAAAACACTTCAGAATTCATCCTGCTGCTTTTGTCAGCAATCACATCATCAATAAATACAAGAGAACCAGTTCCATTGGCAGCCATACATGCACACGCCATGACACTACCACCACCACGCTTCACTGATGAGGTGGTATGCTTAGGATCATGAGCAGTTCCTTTCCTTCTCCATACTCTTCTCTTCCCATCACTCTGGTACAAGTTGATCTCGGTCTCATCTGTCCATAGGATGTTGTTCCAGAACTGTGAAGGCTTTTTTAGATGTCGTTTGGCAAACTCTAATCTGGCCTTCCTGTTTTTGAGGCTCACGAATGGTTTACATCTTGTGGTGAACCCTCTGTATTCACTCTGGTGAAGTCTTCTCTTGATTGTTGACTTTGACACACATACACCTACCTCCTGGAGAGTGTTCTTGATCTGGCCAACTATTGTGAAGGGTGTTTTCTTCACCAGGGAAAGAATTCTTCGGTCATCCACCACAGTTGTTTTCCATGGTCTTCCGGGTCTTTTGGTGTTGCTGAGCCCACCGGTGCGTTCCTTCTTTTTAAGAATGTTCCAAACAGTTGTTTTGGCCACGCCTAATGTTTTTGCTATCTCTCTGATGGGTTTGTTTTGTTTTTTCAGCCTAATGATGGCTTGCTACACTGATAGTGACAGCTCTTTGGATCTCATCTTGAAAGTTGACAGCAACAGATTCCAAATGCAAATAGCACACTTGAAATGAACTCTGGATCTTTTATCTGCTCATTGTAATTGGGATAATGAGGGAATAACACACACCTGGCCATGGAACAGCTGAGAAGCCAATTGTCCCATTACTTTTGGTCCCTTAACAAGTGGGAGGCACATATGCAAACTGTTGTAATTCCTACACCGTTCACCTGATTTGGATGCAAATACCCTCAAATTAAAGCTGACAGTCTGCAGTTAAAGCACATCTTGGGAGGCAGGGGCAGCTCCTGGAGGCCCGACCTTAGTCTGGGGTTCTCACAGGCACACAGCATCCAGGGAACTGGCAGAGAGAGATTGCCCACTGTTTCCTCCAGTCCAGGTAGATGTATCTGAGCCGGGGCACAATCTCGCAGCCCAGGCATCCTGATGCTTAACATCAGACTGGCTAGGAAACAGTCCCCCTTCCTGCAAGGCCAGATCAGACACACAGCCGGGAGTGAGCACTTTGTCTTCAATGGGGCACAGTATGGAAGAATAGTGCGCTGTGCCCACCAGATCCTGGTGCCTAGGGGAGGGAAGTCTGCACACCAGCCAAAGCAGGAGATCTGATAGACTGGCATCTTGCACACAGGAGGTGTGGAGTAACAGAACTCTGTATGTCGTGCCAGGTGTTGGCTGCATGTGTCCCCGCACATGTGTGGTGTAGGGTGATGGGGAATACTTTGTATGGGGAGTGAAGCCGAATGTTGTGAAAGGGGGCTCAGAGCTGGGTATTTACCATTCTGGGGAGAAGGGGTGTACAAAGCTAGGTATGTACCCCTATGGAGGAGCAGAGCGCCACAAAGCAGAGTAGCATATGGTGGAGGAGGGGGGACAGAGATGTATGTAATCTTCTGGAGAAGTATGGGGGCACAGAACTGTCTGTGTTCCACTATGGGGGAGATTAGGGGTACAGATTGGGTATGTATCGCAATGGAGGAAAGATCTGGTTATGTACCATTCTGGGGAGGAGGAAGGATCAGGGCTAAGTATGGTGGAGTAGGGGGAAACAGACCTGGGTATGTACCACTATAAGGGTTCATTCACACCATGGTGCAGAGACGTCAGTTTTTCTGCATGCGTTCTGCAAGGGCAGAGTAAAAAACAATGAACATCAACACTGGTGTGAACAGGGATCATAACTGTGCATGAAAACTGATGTAAACTGATGTCTCTGCAAGTGAAATCTGCATGGTTTTCCCATCAGTTTTCATGCATGGGTTATCTGCAGGGTGGCTGGATACTGTGTACTGGGATTTTCTGCTGGATGGCTGGTCACTGGCTGTGTACTGGGATTATACTGCAGGGTGGCTGGACACTGCGTACTGGGATTATCTGCAGGGTGACCGGTCACTGGCTGCATACTGGGATTATCTGCAGGGTGACCAGTCACTGGCTGCATACTGGGATTATCTGCAGGGTGACCAGTCACTGGCTGCATACTGGGATTATCTGCAGGTGACCAGTCACTGGCTGCATACTGGGATTATCTGCAGGGTGACCAGTCACTGGCTGCATACTGGGATTATCTGCAGGGTGACCAGTCACTGGCTGCATACTGGGATTATCTGCAGGTGACCAGTCACTGGCTGCATACTGGGATTATCTGCAGGGTGACCAGTCACTGGCTGCATACTGGGATTATCTGCAGGTTGACCGGTCACTGGCTGCATACTGGGATTATCTGCAGGGTGACCGGTCACTGGCTGCATACTGGGATTATCTGCAGGTGACCGGTCACTGGCTGCATACTGGGATTATCTGCAGGGTGACCGGTCACTGGCTGCATACTGGGATTATCTGCAGGGTGACCGGGATCACTGGCTGCATACTGGGATTATCTGCAGGGTGACCGGTCACTGGCTGCATACTGGGATTATCTGCAGGGTGACCGGTCACTGGCTGCATACTGGGATTATCTGCAGGGTGACCGGTCACTGGCTGCATACTGGGATTATCTGCAGGGTGACCGGTCACTGGCTGCATACTGGGATTATCTGCAGGGTGACCGGTCACTGGCTGCATACTGGGATTATCTGCAGGGTGACCGGTCACTGGCTGCATACTGGGATTATCTGCAGGGTGACCGGTCACTGGCTGCATACTGGGATTATCTGCAGGGTGACCGGTCACTGGCTGCATACTGGGATTATCTGCAGGGTGACCGGTCACTGGCTGCATACTGGGATTATCTGCGGGTGAACCGCCACTGGCTGCATACTGGGATTATTTGCGGGTGACCGGTCACTGGCTGCATACTGGGATTATCTGCGGGTGACCGGTCACTGGCTGCATACTGGGATTATCTGCGGGTGACCGGTCACTGGCTGCATACTGGGATTATCTGCGGGTGACCGGTCACTGGCTGTATACTGGGATTATCTGCAGGATGGCCGGTCACTGGCTGCATACTGGGAGTATCTACAGAATAGCCGGTCACTGGTGTGTACCAGGACTATCTGCACAGTGAAAGGTCAGTGACTGTGTGGTCATGGGAAGATTTGCTCTCTGTTCTAATAAATGGACCTTGTGATTTACATTAGTTATCACCCTCTTTCTATTAGCAATATGAACAATGTTTCTTTTTTTTTTCTGTTTCAATCTCACTTTATTATAAATCCAGTTTTTGGCCTCATAATGTATGAATAATGCCCTGGAATATTCAGATCAGATGTTACATAATCTCTATATCTTTTATGCAATTAGTATCCGATCTAAATCCCTTTGCTTTGTTTTTCCTCTTGTGAGGTCAGTGTGCAGTCTTGCCTTGCAGTGTCCTATAAAATGTTTTTTTTGCAGATGTTTTCTGGCTAATAAATTCTGATCTCGTCGTGTCTTTCCCCCACTGTTGTCTGTCACCGTCCTCATCCTTTCTTACAAATACGACATTGCTTGAATTTGTGCCCAGAACAAGGACAAGGACGGGCCGCTGAGGGGGGCTCATCGCTATACCTCTATCTCCGGGGACTATGTGCTGAAGATGATGAAACACTTTAAGATTTGTATTCTGCTCCTTTTGTATCAAACTTCTAGCACAATGCCAGGCGTTGTCGATTGAAGTCGTTCCAGGAGTGGCGCAGCATTCTGAATGAACTGCAGAATTTTGGGTCATTTCAGAAAATGCTAAGATAGACCTAAATCACCAGTTTGCCGTTATGCTGGAAAGCAAGGAAATAAATGGCTTTATTACTAATTTATTTAAAACATTTCCCAGTACAGTGAGCATGTAGCAAGGCCAGCGGTGTCTTCTGCCACTATCTGGTGTACAGATATTTAGGCTGAGCAGTAAATGACTGAAAGCATCATGGCTTCCATTGTCCTAGATAAATCCTTTTCTGCAAGTTTACTAATTAGATTATTTTTTAGAGAATCCTAGACCAAAAAACATATCCACCCTTTTTTCAGATCTTGGCTGGATCTCCAGAGTTCGAGTCAATCACCCTGCCATCCTCCGTCGGGCAGAGCAGATTCAGACTCGCCGAACGGTGAAGAAGGACTGGCAAGTAGGTGGCCCTATTGTGTTTCTTCTTCTACACTCTCTGAATTTCATGGTGAATTGGCTGAGTTGTTGTAAAATTGCCAGTTGTGACTGGTTGAGGTGTTGTGTTGGTCATTTCTGGGGTGTTCTGTGGTGATTGGCTGGGATGTTGTGCGATTATAATTGTCCTATTTCTGCAGGCCGCATGGCTGTTGAAGGCTGTGACTTGTATTGACCTCACAACTCTTTCTGGAGATGACACACCATCCAACATCCACAGGCTCTGCTTCAAGGCAAAACATCCAGTCCGAGAAGATCTTCTGCAAAGCGTTAAGATGGAGAACTTTGGTACGTAGAGTAATATTAAAATTAATTTGAAATATACAGAAATTATATCTAGATGGAATGAATTTCACCCATTGTTATAAACTGTAAATGCAAAAATGTATAAATATGAATTAAACTATTGTCTCTTAGATTGTAAGCTCCAAGGATCAGGGCCCTCCTATCCCTCTTGTATTGAACTGTATTGTTGCTGTATTGTCTCCCGTTATATTGTAAAGCGCTGAGCAAACTGTTGGCGCTATATAAGTCCTGTATAATAATAATTGTGTCTTAAAGACGGGAGATGAAGGGAAATCTCTCCAGGGGGACATAGACAGCAAAATCCAAGATGACAAGGGTTTTAGCCCTTTTCACAGTTCTAAAGTGGTTGTGCTCAAAATATATTTGCACACCTTGACAGAAATTGTTTGTCATTTATTCTGAAACTATGACTGATCATGCTGAAAAACTGTCTTTTATTTAAGAATAGTGAACAGATGAAGCCATTTATCGTCACATAGTTCTTCAGCTCCTTTATAAATCATAATGGTAACAGAAATCACCCAAATAGCCACGATCAAAAGTTTACATACCCTGGAATGTTTGACCTTGGTACAGACACACAAGGTGACACACACGGGTTAAAATGGCAATTAATGGTTAATTTCCCAGATCTGTGGCTTTTTAAAATGCAGTTAGTGTCTGTGAATAAATAGTCAATGAGTTTGGCTCTCACATGGATGCACTGAACAGGCTAGATACTGAGCCATGGGGACCAGAAAAGAACTGTTGAAAGTCCTGAGTAACAAGGTAATGAAAATTTATGGAAAAGAATATAATGTGCCTAGGCACATTGAAGGAGCAAAGCCTGCATAAAGGCAGGAAAAGCTGCTTAGTAGTTTGTGCCCCTGCTCTTCCCTCAATATTGAGATTTCCCTGAAGTAGTTTGTGCTGACTTCTGTCGAAGGGGCATGACCGAAAAAGGTCTGCCGATCGGCTCCCGATCAGCTATCTCAGCTAACTGGAGTGTTGTGATGGGAGGGCTGTCCCCCTGTCAGACAACAATAAAACAGTGCGGAAGATCACTGTACTAACATCACGTAGTTAGTATAGCAGCTCCTCCTGAGCTTTCAGTTTTTTTTTTTTTGTTTGTTCAGCCCTGGGTTGAACGAAAAAAAAAAAAAATCGTGTGTCCCAAGCTTTACTGCTTGTATCCCTGAGGGATAAAAATGTTGGCATGTTCAATTTACTTGCAACCATATACATCTGAAATTTTTATTTCTGGGTATAGTTGGCCCGTTCACCCTGGTGGCAGCATATCTCTGGATAGTGTTGGGACTTTGAAGCACAGAGCTGTGTTCTGTCTGTAGTGGAATCGAGTGTAAGAGACAGAATGTAACAGTGGGATATGGGTCCTGGTTTGTCTGAAGGGAGATGTGTTATCTGTTCAGGAATCAAAGGGTTAATGGTGAATGTTTATATAGCCTGTGACAGTCTGTCAAAATTTACCCTTGCCTTTCCCAGAGAGAGGCAGAGACTCCGCCTGACCTCAGGCACAGTATGGAGGGGGCTCTGCCTGACTTGTGGCATGGTAAGAATAGGACTACACCTGACCTCTGGCATGGTATGAAGGGGGCTACATCTGACTTCTGACACAGTGGGGAGATAAAGGGGCTCCACCTAACCTCCAGCACAGTATGGAGGGGGCTCCATCTAACCTCTGGCACGTTAGGAAGGGGGCTCCACCTGTATGAAACAATGAATGTATGTGCCACAGGTGAAAGTCTTATGTACCCGCTAAGAGGTAAAAAAAAATCGTTTAGAGTCTTATATAGAGTCCATATAATGCATCCAAATGTCAAACACACAGTGCAGGCTCTGTATTAGACACAATAAAAGGAAATAAGGAGCTCCCCTAAGTGCAGACTGCTAGAAACATCTTCAATGGAACAAAAACTGACAATTAGCCTGGCTCCACCTGACCTCTGGCATGGTTTGAAGGGGGGCTCCACCTGACCTCTGGCATGGTTTGAAGGGGGCTCCACCTGACCTCTGGCATGGTTTGAAGGGGGCTCCACCTGACCTCTGGCATGGTTTGAAGGGGGCTCCACCTGACCTCTGGCATGGTTTGAAGGGGGCTCCACCTGACCTCTGGCATGGTTTGAAGGGGGCTCCACCTGACCTCTGGCATGGTTTGAAGGGGGCTCCACCTGACCTCTGGCATGGTTTGAAGGGGGGCTCCACCTGACCTCTGGCATGGTTTGAAGGGGGCTCCACCTGACCTCTGGCATGGTTTGAAGGGGGCTCCACCTGACCTCTGGCATGGTATGAAGGGGCCTCCAACTGACCTCTGGCATGGTATGAAGGGGAGGTGGGCTCCACCTGACCTCCAGCACGGTATGAAGGGGAGGTGGGCTCCACCTGACCTCCAGCACAGTATGCAGGGGGCTCTGGCATGGTATGAGGGGGGCTCCACCTGACCTCTGGCATGGTATGAAGAGGCCTACAACTGACCTCTGGCACAGTGGGGAGGAAAGAGAGCTCCGCCTGACCTACAGTACAGTGGGGACACAGTATGAGGAGAGAGAGGGGGGCTCTGCCTGACCTCTGGCACAATATAGGGGATTCGTCCTCCACCTATCCCTATAGTGTGTGGATTAGGATTTATTCATTGTTAATCAGTGTTGGGCAGAGTGTCTAAGCTTCAATGTCAGTTTCTCTATTTTGCAGTGAATAAATTGTGGGTCTTTTCCTGCAGGTGTGCACACAGGCGCTGTGTGTGTCTATCCAGCCCGTGTGCAGGACACAGTGAAGGCGCTGAAGGATGCTGGCTGTGATATACCGGTGGCATCAGGTAGGTACCATGTAACATTTTAGATCTGTGTGATCCAAGCATCTGTATGACTACTCCTTGCATGGACATCTTAGTTATGAGTGGACTGAACTCTGAAGTAGTCGCCTCTCTTTGACAATCATGAGTACTGATGTTTTCATCATCTTTCTGGTACTGTACCCCTACCAAAGCACAGTTGGTATCCACACAAACATCTCAGTGGTATAAAATCTCAGCACAGAACTAAGGTTTTGGTATTGATTAGTTTTAGAAATTATAAGGTAAGTGTACAGCTTTAGGGGTTAAAGCCCAACCCAGAGAATTACAAAAAAAACCTACCATTGTAGTGGGCACAGTAGGTATGCAGACACAGAAAATCCATGCAGGGATGGTGGAAACTCCTTTTAACTGGCCCAGCAGGTGTGAAGACCCAGGAATTCAGTGAATGGAAGATGAGAACCCCTCATAATGGGCACAGAACGTGCTTAGAACTGGGAACCTAGCACAAGGCTGGTGGGAACCCCTCATAATGGGCACATCAGGTATGCAGACCCAGGAAGTCAGCACAGGGATGGTGGAAACTCCTCTTAATTGGTACAGCAGATGTACAGACCCGGGAGCTTGACACAGGAATGATGAGTACCCTTCGTAATAGACACATCAGGTGAGCAGAGCTAGGAGCTCTTCACAGAAAACTCAATAGAGTCTCTAAGAGATAAAAGAGGCTGTCAGGCTTAAAATACTAAAATATACATATTAGTCAGCATGACCCATTAATTTCCTCCTTCTGCAGTGGCCACTGGATTTCCAGCCGGACAGACTCCCTTAAAGACTCGCCTGGAAGAGGTGCGCACAGCTGTAGATGATGGAGCTTCTGAAATCGACATTGTTATTAACAGGACTTTGGTGCTTACTGGCCGTTGGAAAGGTAGGTGTGTCTGGAAAGGTAGGTTGTGTTGGTAGTGTGCCTGTGGTGAGCTCAGTAAATTTTCCCCTAACTGGGGCAGGTGGATCAGTGCATTCATGGGAGGATCGTCGCAGCTCTGTCCTAACAAGTATGTGCTTTATCAGAGGTTTGATTTTGAGTGGTCACATCTGGACAGTGTCCCCAATCAATTGGCTGTTTCCCAAATTGTCTTCCAGGAGAGCCCATGAGAGATAGGCACCTCTGCCAACAGGAACAGGAAGTGCATCACCAAATAAACTTCAAAAGGAAGTCCCTCTGCTGAACTGGTCAGTTTATTGTGTTTCCTCTCGCCATAGGAGATGGATCACCTGGAAACTGGGTGAGAGACTTTTTTTTCCACCCACACCTTTACCTAGCTGACTCCCCTGGGAGCAGCTGGTAGGGTTCTCTGCTAGATTTCCATCGAAGACCACTCCTCATTATGGAAGGTGGTTTGCTTGGTTCCCTTTCTCCTTCTGTGCCTAGTGAAGGCTACTCCTGATGAAGTCACATGATCTGACGTAACGCGTAGGGTGCACCAATGACGTCATGCCACAAACCGGAAGTGCACATGCCGCCATTTTGGATAAGGGATTTCTGCACACGTCTTACAGCAAACGCTGTTTAGTGAGTTTTAACCCTGTAGTGTCCCAGAAGGACACATTTTAATGTGAGTTTTACTAGATTGATTTAAATAAAGGCTGTTTTGAGTGGCAATATTACATTTTTTTTTTAAAAATGGATGTGGAGCGATCTAGAGATGTTTAAAAGTGCTGGCTAACAGTGGTGAAGATCTATATACCAGTATACCCTTCTGGGTTAAAGGGGAAAGTGCAGTTTGAACCTGTCGTCATCACGGGTCAAACCTGGAGGTGAGCGCAATAGAGTGTTGGAAGTGGATGAGCACTAAAGGCCTACACAGGAGCACTGTACACGTGTATACAATAGTGTGTTACACTGGTCTATTTGAAGTACAGCGGATTTAAAGGGACGGTTCACCATTTTTTGAGACCATAGTCCGATGACACTTATAGTTGGTGTATTTGGATCACGATTTATGGGATATATATACCACACAAGTCGATGTGCTGATATTCAAGATTTAAAGGGACAGTTCACTATTAAGGACATTTATTTGTTATTTGTGTGCACAATTCATTTAGAGCACTGGTTATGTGCAGTTTATGGTCCTATATGTTTATTGATTAGACGTCTGGTATACCACACATTGTGTACCATAGGAAATCATGTTAAATGGACTGTAGTGCGTTTCTGCAAAACGTTGCGGAAAACGCTTAGGTATGAACCAAATTTGAGTGATTGGCATGTTGGAAATTTTGAGAATCGTGCAAGAAATCGTGCAATGAGAATCATGCAAGAAATATAATCGAAAAAGAAATGAGCATGAGCTGTGACCTGAAAAGAAGATTGCCAGCCACTAAAATTATTTTCTGTAGCAACATGAGGTGAAATTGAAGGCTTGGTTTGTAGAATTTCGAGATCAATCGTGGCACCATCAGATTACAAAAGACACAAAATTTCCGATTTTCTAAAGAAAATTAATCGAGAATTCGACCCATGTATGGCCTACATAAGAGAGGAGAAAGTATTTTCTGTCCACTTCTCACAGATCACTGGTCACACTGCTGCAAGAATTTGTGTGCAATTTCTGAAGACTTTATTGCTCCTTGTGAAGATTTTCAACGATTTCTTGCAATTTTCAGTGCGATTTTCCATTATATTCTATGTATGTGAAATAATGACAAAACTGCAGAAAAGGTAATGCAAGAACTACTTTAGAAATCATGCTGCAGCAAATCGCAAATGTTAAGACACTGACATTCACATTCATTAGATGCAATTGAAGGTGTGATTTCAATTCCCAAATGTCACCTGTATTACTGGGCAATAATTGTTTCTATTAGCTGTTACCTGGGTGTGGCTGCCTTACAGGCATTTTGGCTTGCTTTCCTACACACAGGACAATTTCCAGGCTGTTTACACAACTCCACTAGCAGAAATTTCACATCCACTTGTCTCACAGAGCCTTCTATTTCCACTACAGAGCTGGAGAAGCTGAGTTATAAATCTTGGCTTTTGAGAATGGTCTGTTTTGCTTCTATTTCAGGGCCTTCACTCACACCCTGGATCAGGATATATAGACCTCATGCTTACATATTTATATGGTTTCTGGGGCCACATAGTTCGTTGATTTTTTTCATACATGTTTACTGAGATCTGTCTCTTGGAGTAGGTCTACAGCCTTGGCATAAGTCTTTTTGGGACTTATGGTGTATTATACACCTAGTACCTGATGTGTAGTATCCATTTTGTGCTCCTGGTTTTGCATACGGAGTCACTATGTGTTTGCATGGGACTCTTTTATGCTTAGACTCTGGCCAGGACCTTAAAGTAGAACTGCACTGCATCTGAGCACCACAAACCAAAAATGCTATTTAATTAATTTTTAACCACTTCCCTGCCACCCTATAGCAGAAGTACTGCTACAGGGCGGCAGGGCTGCACAAAATTACGTGTGTATATATACATGATTTGCATTTCCGGGTATAGGGTGTGCGCGCCACCCTACTTGCGCCGCCATTGGCGGCTACAGATGTCAATCACCCAGCTATAAATATAAAGTGCAGCGCTCTCCCTAAACTGATTAAAATAAATATAAGTAAAATTAAATAGAGTGCACACTTGGCTAAAAATGCTCTACATAATGACACAAACTAATAAACATATGTGTAAGAATAGTGCATATACAAAATATGCGCATAAGCAAAAATTGTGCAAACCATGTGCTTCAAAGTGAGAATAAAGTGCAATCAAAAATGAGAAAAGTGCAATAAAAATCACTCCAATCATCTATTACAAATAATGAAAAATCTCAAATAAAATAAAGTGTCCAAATGCATCAAAAGAACTAGCAATCTTCATGCATGTGTCACACGTGTCCACACTGTGTGAATCCAAACTTTGGCCGTGATGGCTCCTCACCTCCTTGCCAAGACCCCACAGGGTCAGCTCGCTCAACAACAGGACACCCTTTAGATGACTCACCAGGACCTTCCCCGCCTCTTACACTCTAACAGCGATCTCCTCCTCGGTTCATATGCAAATAAAAAACTCACATAGTGTAATCCTGTTTATTAATCAGTAGATATGTAGTCTAAATTGCCCACTCACATTTAGAATCGTCTTGTAACAAGCCTTCAGTACCCCATGCTATGAATCTCCTGCATGGGTATATGTATACAGGGGTTTCAAATATGGCCGCCACCCGGAATCGCCCAGCTAGAGGTTCCCCGCCAGCACCCAGCGATTACCGAGTAGCAACTGACGGGAGAGACCTGTGTGTAAACACAGGTCTCTCTCCTGCCAGCAACAACATGCTGCTGTGTATTTCTCTGCACAGCAGAGAAATACACAGCAGCATGTTTCCCTAGTAAAACGGACAAAGCACAGCACACAGTTAACCCTTTTATCGCCCCAGGTGTTAACCAGTTCCTGCCCAGTGTCATTAGTACAGTGTTAGAGCTTTTTATTAGAACTGATCACTGTATTAGTGTCATTAGGATGTCAGTGGCAGTTAGTCAGTTCCCACTCAGTGTTAGAATTCCCCTGCAGTCCCACTATAAGTCGCTGATCGCCGCCATACTAGTATAAAAAAAAAAATTAAATTCCAGTATATATACCGCCATTTGTAGACGCTATAACTTTCACATAAACCAATTAATTTACATGTATTTGAATTTTTTTAGCAAAGATATTTAGAATACATTTTGGACTAAATTTATGACAATTTGATTTTTAAAATTTTACTTTTTTTTTACTGGATATGTTTTATAGCAAAAAGTAAAAAAAAAAGTTTTTTGTTTTTTTTTTCAAAATTGTCGGTCTTTTTTTGTTTATAGCGCAAAAGATAAAGATGTACAGGTGATCAAATACCACCAAAAGAAAGCTCTATTTGTGGGGAAAAAGAGCACAGCATTGCATGACCGGCAATTGTCAGTTAAAATAATGCAAAAAATAGTCGAGTAAATCCTCTGGAGGGTAACTGGTTAATATTGAAAGCAAACTCACTCATCCATCCATGTCTCCAGGCTTTATTTTACAGAGAGATCATTTTGAAAAACACACCCTGGCATTTCTAGCAGTGGCCATCTTGAGTAAGGGCAGATGATTCATGTATCATTTACATCCTGAAATCCATCTGCCCTTAGCTCAGGCATAGGCTGAACTGCGAACCCTCCATCCACTCCTGAAGACAGCTTGGATGTATGACCTAATTTGCCTAGGCATGGAAACCAGAAAGTAACTGAAGAAATATAAAAAAAAAAAAAAGTTTAAAACGCTTTACTTTCCTATCTATTTACAAATGCTAGCAACATAAGGATTCAAACTAGTCAATGTTAATTGAGAGAGTGAAGTTTTCATGCAGGTCCAGGGTTTATAAATCTTGCTGTTCCTTTTCACCACTGCTTACTGCTACCTGTAATCACTAGAGGTACTCCAAAGGTTGGGTGTTTCACTGAATAATATAGATAATATAATGCACAGTACTCTTGGCGACATTCAGGTGTAGCTAGGGGCCGACTGACCATTCGAGCACTCGAGCACTGCCCGAGGGCCCGGGGTCAGTAGGGGGCCCCATGAAATGCCCCTGGTATCTTTTTTTTTTTTTTATAGGCTTTTTTGAGTGTGGGCAAGGACACATGGGCCCCATGATCCCCTATTGCCGGGGGCCCCATGACTTGTCAGTCGGCCCCTGGGTGTAGCAATGCAGCAGAAGAGGCTTCTGTTATCAGGGTGGCAGCAGCAGGGGTCTCCTGCAGGACATTTAAGTGTCAGCAGAAGATATTTAACTCTTCTATATACTGTATATAAGTTCTGATATTACATAGTGTCACGGATCCAAACGCACAGCCACGGCGACTAGCTAACCGAGGCGTGGTCTATCCATGACTAGGGGTAAGAGAGAATGAGGGGGACTTACTTTTAACATATAAGTCTGGCCGGGATACACTTTCACATCCGCACTGCCTCTGGCCACCACTAGAGGGAGACTCCACTCCAATCCAGCTGGCTGACCACACACAGGCAGATGCAAATCTTATATGCAATCTGGTGCACTCTAAGGGTTGGGGAACAATCTAGCAATTGGCACACCCTTCTAGGATTCCTCCAGCTATCCTACAAGCTAAAACCCCGGTTTTAATCACTCGTCAACTGTCCACACTCCCCCACACCAGACACACAACAAATGGTAGCTTGCCACCACCCAACAGTTTGTCCGCAGACTGGTTTGCTAGGCCACCACACACACACACAGATCTCCGTTTGGCAGATCTGCTACTTTACAATCTGCATGCAATCTGCCAACACACAGTACAATTGCATACAGAGTGGCAATGAACTTAGACCGAGCACATAGACACTACAATACAATAATCTCTCCAGAGATGTGAGCCCGAGTTTAAGTACCCAGAAGTTACTTATTAATTTTATGATTTAATATACTGAAAGTGGGCAGTGCATAAAATATGTACAAAGTATAAAGAGTTACAGAAAATACAAAAAAGACCCACAGTTGGCTATTCACTATAAAATAAAAGGGAATAAAAACAGAAATAAAACTTTTACCAATAGTTATCCTGCGACTTGAGCAAGTCAGGGAGAGTCCACGATTCGCCAGTCAAATAGAACCGGCTCCATTCGAATCACACCGTCCATATCTCAGGTTCCTCAATTTATTGAAATATGGATGTGGGCTGGACATTAGCCCTTGGCCAATCAACCCTGGGGGGGTGTTCCTGTACCAGCCTACAGGACGTTCTGGGTTCTGAAGTGCCCAAAGTCGATTGTACCAGGAATGGTTTGAATCATCAAGTCAGGGATAGAATTTCTGACACCAGCGCACCAGCCTGATCACAACAGTACCGATCACTGTTCAGCTGTCGCAATGAGGCGCCATATAACGGTTTTGTGCGTTTCTCTGGGATTCTACACAGGCTACAAATACACTTTTACATGTAGATGTAGCCTACAGTGTGTCCAATCAGAAGGAAGTATTTTCATCTCTCTCCAACTAATATTTTTGCTTTTATGAGCGATGAAACAGATTCATCTGATTTGTGGGTATAAATCAGAGCTGGCAGACAAATTGGAGCCACTCCTGGTCTCCTGCTGCTTCCCGAAGGCGAAATGGCTGGAGCCCTTCTTTTAGATTTCAAGAAGGTGGCAAACTCTGGCTACATAGGTGACAACGTTTTATTGTCATCTAGGTGTCACATCCAGCCTAGAAGCTGCTCTGTCCTTTCAGATGCTAATTGGTGAACATATGTCTCTGAAGGAATACTAAACGCCTATCTGTAATAACATGGAATTAAACTAGCTCTACAGTTACATATTTCTACTGATCACATCTCAACTACCCAAATCTTACATTTATGTTACACATAGGTTTAATATATTTGTCATGTCTCGTACTGCATGCCAGCGCTTGTTTTTGGCCTGTTGCAGCCAGTTACACTATAAGCCCTTGTCAGGACATGTGTTGTAATCATGTACTTCTGATGTTGTCCATCCCATACCACAGTGCTACGTCTTTCATTTTAGTCATTTAGGCAAGGTCATGTACAGGCTGGTACATTTATTTTGCAGAATTGTGCAGCCAATTAGTGTTTTAACACCAGAACCTACAGCACATGTGTAGCTCTGGGTGTTATCCATCCCAGGCTACAGGTTTAGACCTCTACATGACTTCCTTGTAGTGAATGTGTCATCTATTTGCAACATAGGGTTAGAACAGGGGTCCTCAAAATACGGCCCGCCGAGGCCATTAACCCAGCCTGCCGGCAGGGGCGTGTTTTCCACGAGGAAGGGACACGAAGTACAGGGGTGGGCAGGGGGCTGCTGTACCTTACCTGGCTCCGGTCCCAGTCCCACGACGATCCAGTCCAGGAAGCGCTGCTCCTTCATTCACTCCGGCCACTCCCTCACTCCTGCCGCTCGGCTCCGCCTCCTCACCGGTGATTGGGCGTCAGAACTGTAGCTCAGGAAAGGCACACAGGTGGTCAATCACCGGCGAGGAGGCGGAGCCAAGCGGCCCCGCAAACATCGAGTGAGGGAGAGGCCGAAGTGAAGAAGGACAGCTGACAGGTAAGTGTGCCGTGCTGATGGTGCTGCTGCAACCAGGTATGCTGGCTGCAGCAGTACCATGCTGGAGCAGGGGTCAGCAAGTTAAGTGTCAGTGGGAGGAATAGTGCCCCATCATTGGTGTCACTGATACTAATGATAGGGCATTATTCCTCCCACTGACACCAATGATGGGGCACACCACACCAACGATGGGGCACTATTCCTCCCCCCCCTGGGCACACCTCCCCCCCCCCACTGACACCAACGATGGGGCACTATGCCTCCCCCCCCCCCCCCCCCACTGACACCAACGATGGAACACTATTCCTTCCCCCACTGACACCAATGATGGGGTACTATTCCCCTCCACTGACACCAATGAAGTACTATTCCTCCCACTGACACCAAAGATGGGGCACTATTCTTCCCACTGACGACAATGACGTACTATTCCTCCCTATGACACCAAAGATGGGACACTATCCCCTCCACTGACACCAATGACGGGGCACTATTTCCCCCCCACTGACACCAATGACGTACTATTCCTCCCACTGACACCAAAGATGGGGCACTATTCTTCCCACGGACACCAATGATTGGACACTATTCCTCCCACTGACACCAATGATGGGACACTATTCCTCCCACTGACACCAATGATGGGACACTATTCCTCCCACTGACACCAATGATGGGACACTATTCCTCCCACTGACACCAATGATGGGACACTATTCCTCCCACTGACACCAATGATGGGACACTATTCCTCCCACTGACACCAATGATGGGACACTATTCCTCCCACTGACACCAATGATGGGACACTATTCCTCCCACTGACACCAATGTTGGGACACTATCCCCTTCCCCCCACTGACACCAATGACGAGGCACAATTCCCCCCCCCACACTGACACAATGATGGGGCACTATTCCTCCCCTCACTGACACAATGGGGGCACTATTCCTCCCCCCACTGACACTAATGATGGGGCACTATTCCTCCCCCACACTGACACCAATGATGGGGCACTATTCTTCCCACTGACACCAATGATGGGGCACTATTCCTCCCACTGATACCAATGATGGGGCACTATTCCTCCCACTGATACCAATGATGGGGCACTTTTCTTCCCACTGACACCAATGATGGGGCACTATTCCTCCCACTGACACCAATGATGGGGCACTATTCCTCCCACTGACACCAATGATGGGGCACTATTCCTCCCACTGACACCACTGATGGGGCACTATTCCTCCCACTGACAGCAATGATGGGGCACGTTTCTTCCCACTGACACCAATGATGGGGCACTATTCCTCCCACTGACACCAATGACGGGGCACTATTTCTCTCCATAAGACACACTTAGGGGGAAATGTCTGGGCGTCTTATAGAGCAGCCGGACCAGTATTCCCACCACCGTTGTATGTCCACAGTCTCTGGTCATCTCATGTACTGTGTCCACATTTGTTTAAAAAATTTTTTTTTTTAGAAACTATAGTCCTGCCCTCCAACGTCTGAGAGACAGTGAACTGGCCCCCTGTTTAAAAAGTTTGAGGACCCCTGGGTTAGAACGTATAGAGAATGTCTTAGGGCTTGCTCTGCAGCACTAGTGTAATTGTGGAACACTAAATATTTTACATAACCTTTACTTGTGAGCACTGGTGGTATCATCTATCTTGAATCACAGTGGTTTCCTTTTCGTAGCTTTCCTTGCACATGGGTAGAAACTGACTCTCTCCAAAGCTTTTGCACTTTGCGAATGCAAAGTATGCATTTTTTTTGGGGGGGGGGATGTTTATCCTGTGCCCAAATGTTATACCTCTTCCATGACTTCATGTGTGGATGGTTTGATAGTTTAGATTAGTGTTGCACTGAAATGAAAACTCTGGTGCTGAAACCGATACAGAAAATTCAGACTGCACGTGGCCAAAAACTCAAATGTCTGCATAGGTGGGGAGGTGCAAATGTTTTTTTGTATTATTTTAAAGTATAATGTGTATTTATATTTATTTTTTTAACTTATAATTTTATTGATATAACATAGGGGACCAATAGTCCTCTATGTGATGGCATATGAGTGACAGGTTCTCTTTGTGGGGGTGGGGGCAGTGTGTGAAAGGAGGATGCAGAAGAGGAGCGGTGTATACAGTGAGGGAGCGGTGTATACAGTGAGGGAGCGGTGTATACAGTGAGGGAGCGGTGTATACAGTGAGGGAGCGGTGTATACAGTGAGGGAGCGGTGTATACACTCAGGCTCCCTCACTGGCTGACCCTATGTCACTCCTGGTTTTTAATTAATTACCAGCTTCTGTTTCCCTTCACTATATCTCAGAGAATGAGCTGTCATTCTCCCTGCCACTAAGAGACACTAAGGAGCGGGGTAACCCAGTGACATTACCCAGTGACCCCGCCCCCTAGTTCCCCTGTTGGAGGAGGTGTCTATTTCTCATGGGCTGTCCTGGAAGTCTACTGGAAACAGAGTTACTGGTAAGCCAATTTTTTTTCTCTTCTGCAGTCTTTATTCGGAACGCCAAATATTATAAATAGACCCATCTTATCAGTTTAGCTGGAGATTGAGGGGTACATTTGATGTGAGATGTGCTGCAGAGCCCTATTGTGGAGTGACAGCACAGCAAATAAGTCTCAGAACATAAATAAGAATTCATTTGCTTTTACTTTCAGAATTGTATGAAGAGATTCGATTGTTTCGAGAAGCTTGTGGAGAGGCACACATGAAAACCATCCTGGGCACTGGAGAGCTGGGCTCACTTGCCAATGTCTACAAGGCCAGTCTGATCGCCATGATGGCAGGTGAGTCAAAGTAGCTTTCCTGCAGGGAATTGCAGTATAAGGGGTTGTAAGACATTACTTAAAGGGTATAGGGGGTGAGTCCAGGAACATTTTCATAAGTATAATACTGCTGAAAAACCGTGCTCGGTTTGCTCTCCTGCAGTGCCCTCACTTGTGTATTAGTGGGCTGTATTGTTCTTGGTGTGAAAGCCATATTTGATAAGGTTCTTCACTTTCCTCTTAGATGTGTATGGCAGTTCTATATACAGTTGCAAGAATTGGGCATAAAATGTGCTCTGAACGTCATCTAAGTCACAACAATAGAAGAACACAGTCTGCTGAACATAATACTACACAAACATTAGATGTTGCCATGGTTTAATTGCACATAACATGTAAACATTCACAGTTCAGGGAGGAAAAAGTATGTGAATCTTTGGACTTAATAACTGGTTGACCCTCCTTTGGCAGCAATAACCGCAACCAAACGTTTTCTGTAGTTGCAGATCAGACCTGCACAACGATCTGGAGTAATTTTGGACCACTCCTCTTCACAAAACTGTTTCAGTGTAGCAATATTCTTGGGATGTCTGGTGTGAATCGCTCTCTTAAGGTCATGCCACAGCATTTCAATCAGGTTGAGGTCAGGACTCTGACTGGGCCACTCCAGAAGGTGTATTCTGTGCTGTTGCAGCCATTGTTTTGTTGAATTACTTGTATGCTTTGGGTCATTGTCCTGTTGCATCACCCATCCTCTGCGGAGCTTCAGATGGCGGACAGATGGTCGTACGTTTTCCTGCAAAATGTCTTGATAAACTCTGGAATTCATTTTTCCATCCATGACAACAATCAGTCCAGGCCCTGAGGCAGCAAAGCAGCCCCAAACCATGATGCTCCCTCCGCCATGTTTTACAGTGGGGATGAGGTTTTGATATTGGTGTGCTGTGCCTTTTTTTCTCCACACATAGTGTTGTGTGTTCTTCCCAAACAACTCAATCTTGGTTTCATCTGTCCGCAGTATATTTTGCCAGTAGTGCTGGGGAACATCCAGGTGCTCTTTTGCAAACTTCAAACGTGCTGCAATATTCTTTTTGGACAGCAATGGCTTCCTCCGTGGTGTCCTCCCATGTACTCCATTCTTGTTTAATGTTTTCCTTATTGTAGATGTGTCAACAAAAATGTTAGCATGTGCCAGAGATTTCTGTAGGTCTTTAGCTGACACTCTGGGATTCTTCTTTACCTCATACAGCATTCTGCGCTGTGCTCTTGCAGTCATTTTTACAGGACGTCCACGCCTAGGGAGAGTAGCAACAGTGCTAAACTTTCTCCATTTGTAGACAGTCTGTCTTACCGTGGACACATGAACATCAAGGCTTTTGGAGATACTTTTGTAACCCTTTCCAGCTTCATGCAAGTCAACAATTCTTGATTGTAGGTCTTCTGAGAGCTCTTTTCTGCGAGGCATGGTTCACATCAGACAGTGCTTCTTGAAACCAGTAAACCCAAAACAGGTGCGTGTTTTTTAAGGGCAGGACAGCTGTCAGCAACACATCTAATATCATCACACTGATTGGAGTCAAGGTTGGCTCACTCCTGGCTCCAATTAGCTCTGGGAGAAGTCATTAAGCTAGGGCCTCACATACTTTTTCCTCCCTGCACTGTGAATGTTTACATGTTATGTGCAATTAAACCATGGCAACATCTAATGTTTGTGTGTAGTATTATGTTCAGCAGACTGTGTTCTTCTATTGTTGTGACTTAGATGACGTTCAGAGCACATTTTATGCCCAATTTATGCAAAACTCCATGTAATCCCAAGGGGTTCACATACTTTTTCTTGCAACTGTATGTTGTAGAGTCTGATCTGAAAGGCACAGCAAGCAGATGCTCTTGTTGGTGCTTTCAGTAATTCAGTACATTGAGGTTTGGTGCTGGCAGCCAGGCATTGTTCTTGACACAAAGCTTTTGGTGCCATAGTGACTTACAATAGTAAAGTTTTGGTCACTGTTATAGTCAGAGGTCCGCATTGGTATCCTTGATGCTTCTCTCGGAGCAGGTATTCATTAATCCTTTCTAACTGTGATTTGCTTACCTTATTAATGACACAAATGCCCCCTGCCATTCCAGTACAATAATTAAAGGATTCATCAGTGGTCCCCTTTACTCATAGGAATGAATGGCATGAGCGTTATTTTTGTTTATGTAATTTTTTTAGTTGGGATTTCCTGAGACTTGAAATCTTTTTTAAAAGTTTCTCCATGGTAAAAGATTAACCACTTGCCCCGGGCACTTATACCCCCTTCCTTACCAGGCCAATTTTCAGCTTTCAGCGCTGCCGCACTTTGATTGACAATTGCGCGGTCATGCAACATTGTACCCATATGAAATTTTGATCATTTGTTTCTCACAAATAGAGCTTTCTTTTGGTGGTATTTAATCGCCACTGGGCGCTTTACTTTTTGCGCTATAAATTAAAAATGTGCAAAAAATTTGAAAAAAAAAAAAAAAAAAGTTTATTTGTTTCTTTTATAAAAAATTTTTCAAACAGGTATTTTTTCTCCTTCACTGATTTGCGTTGATGAGGCGGCACTGATGGGCACTGATAGGCGGCACTGATGGGCACTGATAGGCAGCACTAAAGGGCACTGATAGGCAGTACTAATGAGGTGGCACGGATAGGCGGCACTGATAGACAGCACTAATTAGGGGTCACGGATAGGCGGCACTGATATGCAGCACTGATAGGCGGCACTGATAGGTGACACTGATGATGGGTACTGATAGACGGCACTGACTGGCATCACTTCTGGGCACTGACTGGCGGCACTGACTGGCACAACCCCTGGGCACTGACTGGTGGCACTGACTGGCAGCACTGCTGGGCTGCACTGGTGGGTGGGCACAGGTGGGTGGCACTGGTGGGTGGGCACAGGTGGGTGGCACTGGTGGGCACAGGTGGGTGGCACTGGTGGGCACAGGTGGGTGGGCACAGGTGGGTGGCACTGCTGGGCACATGTAGGTGGCACTTCTGGGCACAGGTAGGTGGCACTGCTGGGCACAGGTGGGTGCACTGCTGGGCACAGGTGGGGGCACTGCTGGGAATGGGTGGGCGGGGCTAGTGGGCGCGCTGCTGATCGGAACTTGCGGGGGTCACTGCTGGGCACCGATCATCAGGGCACTGATCATCAGTGCCCTGATGATCGGTGCCGATCCCCGCTCTGACAACTGCCGGTTCTCGGCAGTACTTTCCTCACGATCTGACAGCGTGAGGAAAGTGCAGCCGAGAACCGGCACTTGCATTTTCCTGTGATCAACGTGTCATTGGACACCGCTGATCACGTGGTAAAAGGCCGGTGGGATCGGCCTTTCACCACATCACGTGATCAGCTGTGTCCGTAGGACACAGCGATCACGGAGATCGCCGGGTGCGCGCCCCCTGGAACGCGCAGGAGAGCGCGTTCTGGGAGGACGTCATATGACGTCCACTCAGAACTGGCCGTCCGCGGTGAAGCCGTCTTTCGGCTATGCGCGGTCGGCAAGTGGTTAAGAGAGGCTGGATTAGAGAAGTGTTTATCAATCTTTTTTTAGTCAAGGCATCCTTTAAAATTATGCACACTCTCAAGGTACCCCATGAATGTAAAAAACTAAACTAATAGTTTTCCACATCACAGCAACGTCAAAACATGTAGGACACGCAACTTTAGAGGTGATTTCTTTTTATAAAGCAAGCACACCTTTGCACACTGTTACTGACAAGTATTCCTTTGTTTTTGCTCTCCCTCACTTAGCTAATGCAACCCCCAGTGCTGAAGGAGAGGGCAGGGAGGGGCAAACAAGGATGCTGTGTAGGCGTCCAGTGTCCTCCTTATAAACTTCTGACATCATTGGGTGTTGGGATGCTGGCGGCTAAAAGGTAGTAATGGTGCACAATGAAAACCTGTGGCTTTTTTGTAACTAAAAGGCAAGCTTGATCCATTCGCTGACTTGTATACAGTTTTTTGGCAATTTTCAGGCATTTTTCCAAGGCACCCCTGTGCCGGTACCTCATGATACCAGGGCACTCTGGTTTAAAAACCCTGGACTATACTGTAGATAAGGAGTCTCCATAATTTCTAAACAAAGGGACAGTTTACTCTCCTTCAAACTTTAGGAGGGATGGACTGTGGCCAGTGGGAGTAGAAAATATCTTGGTGTCAGTGGAAGTAAAGAGTGTCCCCTTTTTGGTATTAGGGGGAGGAATAGTGTCCCATCTTTAGTGTCAGTGAAAGGAATAGTGCCCCATCATTGGTGTCAGAGGGGAAAAAGTATCCCATCGTTGGTGTCAGTGGAGGAATAGTGCCCCATCATTGGTGTCAGAGGAATAGTGCCCCATTGTCAGTGTCAGGAACTATGCCCCAATGTTGCTGACAGTAGGGGAATAATGGCCAAAGGGCCAGATAAAAGCATGTGGAGGGCCGTAGTTTGGAGACCACTGCTATGCTTTGTGAAGAAGTTTTGTGGATAATACACTATATTGCCAAAAATTTTGGGATGCCTGACTTTACACACACATGAATTTTAATGGCAGTCAGTAGGGTTCAATATTAAGTTGGCCCACCCTTTGCAGCTATAACAGCTTCAACTTTTCTGAGAAAGCTGTCCACAAGGTTTAGGAGTGTGTCTATGGGAAGGTTTGACCATTCTTCCAGAAGTGCATTTGTGAGGTCGGGCACTGATGTCGGATGAGAAGGCCTGGCTTGCAGTCTCCACTCTAATTCATCCCAGAGGTGTTCTGTCTGGTTGAGGTCAGGACTCTGTGCAGACCAGTCAAGTTTCTCCACCCCAAACTGGCTTATCCATGTCTTTATGGACCTTGCTTTGTGCACTGGTGCGCAGTCATGTTGGAACAGGAAGAGGCCATCCTCAAATTGTTCCTGCAAAGTTGGGAGCATGAAATTGTCCAGAATGTCTTGGTATGCTTACTCCTTAAGAGTTCCCTTCACTGGAACTAAGGGGCCAAGCCAACCCCTGAAAAATAACCC